TCCTCAGGAGGGTGTGGAAGGCTATGAGACATCGTTTCGGCTGCTGCTGTCACTGTAGTGCTGTGGATGATGTGGAGCCTTTCGCCCCTCCAGCAGATCTGGACCCAGAGCCTGATCCAGATCACTCCGCCGTCAAGCCAAACAATGGTGAATCCACAGTCATTATTTCTTGAACATTATTTTAAACAGTATTGTCATCTTGTTTTCCACTAAAAATATCTTTAGGCTTGTTTTCAGCAAATATTAATATTACTTTCCCCATATTAATACAGTATAATGCAAGGTTACTTCAAGGGGTTCGTAGTTATTGTAATTACTGTAATATGTACATTGTACATGGAAACTGGACTGTAAAATAAAGTTCTACCGGTAACACTTTATTTAAAGGTGACGTATGTACTACATCTACTTACTATAATAACTGTAAATGATGCATAATTACAGTAACGCCATAGGATAGTAAGTACATGTAGTTAATTCATATGACTTATTTGAGGAAGTACAATGCAAGTACATCAGCTTAAAATAAACTGTAACCAACTATTATTTATTAAAAGGATCTAGCATGCTCATATATTTATCATATTCTGTTTGTTTTTCCAGAGTCGTTTGAGTCTCTCTTCAATATAGGAGAGATGATTGGATCCGGAGGATTTGGCAGGGTGTTCAAGGGTACGCGGAAGTTTGATGGCAAAAAGGTGAATTACGGAACTGTACAAACGTTTTGCTCTTGCATGCATCAAAACAATTTACAGATGGTTTAATACCTAGTGCAAGGTCAAGTGCCTGAATACTGTTACTGAAACATTTTTTTTTTTTTTTTTTTTTGCAGGTTGCCATCAAAGAGATCAACAAGATTGACAACAATCGTTATCTTGTTATTGTAAGTTGGCTAAACCCTGTTTAAGTGCTGATTACTGTAGTTAATACACCTGTTGGAAGCATTAGCTGTAAAATTTATAGACAAATAAGCGTAGAAGCACCAAATAACTTTGGGCTACAATGGCTCTGAATCTACAGAGATAAAAGAAAAGTACATGATGTGTTTTCTTCAGATTTGTACCCAGCTAACCTTCTGTCTGCTACTTTTCTCTAGCCTGGGCATCCCGAACCTCTGGTTACAGAAGTGGCGCTGCTGCTGCTGATGAGGCAGGAACCCAGAAGCCCGTACATCATACAGCTGTACGAGTGGTTTGAACACCCTGAAAAATTCACTCTCGTTATGGAGTACCCTGAACCATGCGAGAGCTTGCTGGATTTCATCAGACGTAACTCTACACTGCATGAAACAACGGCTCGGGTCATCATGCGACAGGCGGTGCTGGCAGTACAACACTGCATCGAGCGTGGCGTTTTTCATAATGACGTTCATGCGGACAACTTCCTGTTGATGAAAAACAAGTTAGAGGTCAAGCTCATAGACTTTGGCTGCGGTCAGCTTCTTAGTAGTGACGGCTACGAGAGCAGTAAATACCTCGGTGAGCATTTTAGCAGTGTAAAAACCTGAATGTAGTGACTTATTTTAAATAAAAAGCTCAATAATGCGCAAATGTTTTGCTTACAGGACTACCGGATAGCTGCCCACCTGAAGCCTACACAGGACCGAGATTCCACGCCATTCCTACAAATGTCTGGAGTCTTGGAGTGGTGTTATACGAGATGGTGAATGCATGTTCTCCGTTTTTCGGTAGAACGGATATCACACAAGGTGAAGTTATATTTGAGAACTCCAATTTATCCAAAGGTGAGAGAAGAATTCCGATTTCTTTGATTAATACACACATAAAGCAAAGGCTCTGTACAGAAACAGTTGAAGGTGAAGTACGCATGTAAGATTTTTTCGAACCAGTAAAACTTGCATTTGTGATGTTTGAGTTTTTTGACGCAAAGACTGCATACTTCACCTTTAAAGTAAAGATAAAGAACATTTTACCTTACATTAATCATGTTTAGATGCTAAGTCACATGGTCATGACTAACCACCTCTCTCCTTATTAAAATGTGTACAGAATGCAGAGATCTGATTATCCAGTGCCTAACAAAGGATCCAAATAAACGGCCGACGTTAGAGCAGATGCTACAACATGAATGGATTAGAAATGATCTTCTTGTAGATTGGAGAAGTTCAGGAGATTCACTTGCTTGGTGATTTCAGGTGTGAGGAAGAGTAATGGACAGTATATAGGGTTATTACCAGACAGTTATCTTCAAATTTTTTGAGGATTTTCACATTTATTGTAGTGTGTGACCAAGTTAATTTTATGTGCTTGTCATAGTCTAGTCAGCTTCATTTATATAGCGCTTTATACAATACAGATTGTTTTAAAGCAGCTTCAATATCATGAATTAAAAAATAACAGAATCATTAAAGCAAACAGAATTCAGTTCTGCTGTAAAGCAGCTCTAAACGTTTATGAGTTGACATGTTCATATAATTTTGTTTTGGATAGGAAATAACACACTTGCGGTCCTTGGTGCAGGGCTTGAGCTCGTGACGTGACGTGACCCGAAGCCCGAAATCCAGCCTCGACTCGACAGGGAACTCAAGCCGCCACACCAGAGAGCTCAGAACCTGTGAGCATGAGAGACTGCAAGACTGGAAAGAAGTCATCACAACCATATTTCCATCCTTCTCTTACTTATCCATGTCACCAAGTTTAGTATAGGATGTACACCAAGAGTTAGCCATAGCCACAACGCAGAAGTCAAGTCAATCCGATCGTTAGAGACATCATTATTCACGTACCCACCAGAGATGAGACCGATTCAATGTCATTTCCACAAATATACCAGTGACTACAAATAGAAGGTGGCATGGTCAAACAAACTGTAACAATTATAAATCAACACGAATACACAATCTTAAACTTGTTAAGTTAACTTGTTTTTATCAGGCGGTTAGACAAAATAGGAAGGGTGGTGGGTTAGCAGTTACTGTCTCCTCAAAGTTGCAGCACCAAAAAAATAAAATACATTAAATTAAAATAAAATAAAATCACATTATGGAGGAATTTCAGTCTGGCTTTAGAGCTCATCACAGTACAGGAAACTGCCCTTACAAAAATAATTAGTTATGCCAGAATAAACTCTGATCAAAAATAAGGTCTCAATTCTACTTCAGTAACACTTTATTTCGTAATTAAATATATATATATATATTTATATATAAAATAATAAATAAGTAAAGTTGTCCTCAAAAGTTAGTTGGCATGTAGTTGAAAACTTACTTATAATTAGTAGAACGTCTAAAGTGACTATCGAAATAAAGTGTAACCAAAAAATATAATAATATATATAAAAAATATACGTAATAATATATAATAAATAAATAAAGTTCTCCTCCGAAGAGGGGGGGTGGAGGTGGGAGAATATAACATATTGTGTATGTACTTTAAAAAGATATTACAGTGTCTGTTAAATATATATATATATATATATATATATATATATATATATAAATAAAGTTGTCCTCCGAAGAGGGGGGTGGAGGTGGGAGAATATATATATATATATATATAAATAATAATAATTAAATTACTAAATAAATAAAGTTGGGGGAGGGGGTGGGAGGGTGGGAGAGTATAACATATATATGTAATAATATATATATATATAAAAAAAATAATTAAATAAATAAATAAATAAATAAAAGTTGTCCTCCGAAGAGGGGGGGTGGAGGTGGGAGAATATAACATATATATGTAATAATATATATAAAAAAATAATAATTACATAAATAAAGTTGTCCTCCAAAGAAGGGGGGGGGGGTGGAGGTGGGAGAATAAAACATATATATGTAACAATATATATATATATTGTTACGAACTGCTCTGAGGCTTGTAGATGAGATCCAAACGCAGCTTTATTTGAGGGCAATCCAGAGGCGTAATCCAATGTACAGGCAAGGGTCATACACAGATAGGCAGTCCAAGACAGATACACAGAGAAACAAACAAAACAGGCAGGGACCAGAGGCAAGAGAGTAATCCAGGGAACAGGGCAAGATATCCAAAAACCAAGAGACAAGAAAACCGTAGAATGCTCAGAATTGCAGTGTAACACTAAAACAAGACTTCGCGGTGAGTGACTGAATGAACATGGTATATATAGCCAGACTAACAAGATGAGACAGGTGAATGCAATAGTGAATGAGGTACAGGTGAATGTGATCAGTGATGATGAGTCCGGGCAGTGAGTTCTGGGAAATGTAGTTTGTGTGAAACATAGTCTTATCTGGAGTGCCCTCTGGTGGCTCAAGAGGACACTCCAGCTGGTAACCGTTACATAGCCCCCCCTTTAAGGAGCGGATTCCAGACGCTCCTCAAAATGTCCAGGAGGGAGGTGGAGCGGAGGCGGACCTGGGGGCGGGATGGAGGGCCAGGCCCGTGGAGCGGAAGAGGACCTGGAGACTGCGGCGCAGCTGGCTGTGGAGGCGACCAGGTCGGAGCAGGCTGTGGAGGTGGCCAGGGCGGAGCTGGCTGTGCGGGAGGCCAAGGCAGTGGAGACCCCTCGGGCGGCCACGGCGGCGAAGACCCCTCGGGCGGCCACGGCGGCGAAGACCCCTCGGGCGGCCACGGCGGCGAAGACCTCTCAGGACCAGACACCGGCTCAGGAACAGACACTACAACAGAAATGGTCACAAGGACAGATACAGATACAGACACAGAAACAAACAAAACAGGCAGGGACCAGAGGCAAGAGAGTAATCCAGGGAACAGGGCAAGATATCCAAAAACCAAGAGACAAGAAAACCGTAGAATGCTCAGAATTGCAGTGTAACACTAAAACAAGACTTCGCGGTGAGTGACTGAATGAACATGGTATATATAGCCAGACTAACAAGATGAGACAGGTGAATGCAATAGTGAATGAGGTACAGGTGAATGTGATCAGTGATGATGAGTCCGGGCAGTGAGTTCTGGGAAATGTAGTTTGTGTGAAACATAGTCTTATCTGGAGTGCCCTCTGGTGGCTCAAGAGGACACTCCAGCTGGTAACCGTTACAATATCCTTCGGTCTCCTCCTAGAAAAGAAATCGTCCGAATAGCTTCGAAATCTCAAGATCTGGAAGAAAACACTCGGAAAAAGTCTCTGAAATCGCCTTGTCTCAACCAACAAATCTCAATTGTTTCGTCTGTATATATTTGATTTTGTATATTCGCGTCGCTATGGCAACTAAAATTTGAATCACTCACGGCACGCGCACCTGGATTCTGCGCTTGCAAAACAACCCGATGTATATGTGTACATTCAAAAATGTCATCAAAACGGGGCGTAGGAGCAAGATAGCTAGATAGCCTGAACCTTATATTCACAATTCTGACTTTTTCTTGTAAAAAGTTTATATTTCGCAATTCTGACAACTTTTCGTACTATATAAACCCATTAACTATATATTTTCTATTAATAAAAAATAATTCAAAAGATAAACTTTTATCTCCCAATCCTACCCTATTCTACAATCCTATAATCCTATCCTACCCAATCCTAATTTTTTTCCCAAAAATAATATATATATATATATATATATATATAGCCTATATTAAATGAAGTCTCTTCCGCTCACCAAGACTGCTTTATTTGATGAAAAAAAGTGACAAACAGAAATATTGTGAAATATTATGACAATTTAATGAATGTTTTCTATTTTAATATATTTTAAAATGTAATTTGAAAGCTGAATTTTCAACATCATACTGTTGTTGATTACACATCACGATCCTTCAGAAATCATTCTAATATGCTGATTTTATGCTCAAAAAACATAAATTATTATTTTCAATGTTGCAAACAGCCGTGTACCATCCCCCCCCCCCCAATTCTGATTAATAAAAAGTTCAAAAGAACAGCATTTATTTAAAATAGATTCTTTTCTAACATTATAAATGTCTTTACTGTAACTGTTTATCAGTTTAACTCATCCTTGATAAATAAAAGTATTTTCTAATTTATTTCCGCCAAAAATAAAATTCTTACTGACCCCAAACTTTTGCATGGTAGTGATTAATGTTACAAAAGCTTTCCATTTCAGATCAATTCTGTTCTTTTGAACTTTCTATTCATCAAAGAATCCTGAAATAAAAATGTAAAAAACTGTTTTCAACATGGATAATAATTATAAATGTTTCTTGAGCAACATATAATAATTTTTGTAGGATCATGTGACACTGAAGACAGGAGTAATGATGCTGTAAATTCAGCTTTGATCACAGAGGGCTTGGAGCCAGAGGGGCGTAAGTGGCATTTTGGACGAATTGAGTTCTTTATATCAAAATAAAGGTCTCAATGAGCTCTATCCAATGGTGCCAAAAATATGTTTTAGAACATGTTCATTGTGTTAATATGCCCTTCTGGCTCCAAGCCCTCGATATATTCACATAGAAAACCGCTGTTTTAAATTGTAATAATATTTCACAAAATTACTGTTTTTTTTTGTATTTTTTTTTTTTATCAAATAATTGCAGCCTTGGTGAGCAGAAGAGACTTCTTTTAAAAACATAAAAAATCTTACCGATCTAAAACTTTCTACCGGTAGTGTATATAGCCTATTTATAATATTTCTAATGCAATATTAATTATATATAATAATAAAATAAAAATCGGAAGTGTTAGATGAAAAATTCACAGTCACCTTAAATTTTATTCTTCATCAGGAGAAAAATAATTTAGAAAAGATAGGGACAGACAGACATCATTTTCTGTTTGACCACTAGGGGGCAGCAGTGATGTTTTTTTTTTTTTTTTTTTAACTTTTAACTTTATTGTCCCCAGGGGGTTACAAGGGGTTATTCTTTTCCACAGCACTGCAATTGTGTAATACACACAACTAAACCAATATAATACAAACAGACATGACACAGGAAAAGAGAGAAAAAAAAACATGCAGTTGAATAACACTCAGCGTTGTCTGTTGTTAAGGAATGTGATGCTGAGGCTTCTTCCAAAGCGAGTGCTTGGCTTCTTCTTTGCATCACAGTGGTTGGCTGGACCCCTGTCAATCAGTACGAGCTATCTCCAAACAATTAGGATGCCATTATAAAGACATCTAAATCACGTGATGACATGTTTATTGGTTTAAAGTGTTGATGCCAGTTTAGTCTGTTATTCTGACACTGGTAAAGACACTGATCTAGTCAAACATGGGCGGCCTCTCTTAAGCCGGCCTCATGAATCATTTCTGTTACAGTAATGGGGGTTTTCAGTTCATTTAAGTCTTACTCTCTCATAAAAATAACCTGTGCCGGAGCAGTTTACATAGTTTGGCGGAGATGTATGACCTGCCTGCGCTGTTTGATATTTTTGGACATTGGTTTCTCCCAGCAATCAGTTAAGGTCACGAGTTGTTATCTCTGGTGTTTTGTTCACGTGTGTGAGGTCATGCTTGTTTCCAGACATCGCTGTAATCAATCTTTCCCCGAAAACCCATTAAACGGAATCGGCGGTTAACACTAAAGACAGGAACTGTGCCTTGGTGAATAGGGAAATGGGAGCAATCAGACA